GGTGCCGCTCCAATGGAGGAGAGCACAAGTGGGTGGACATGGGTGCCTGGCCTGGGCTTTCAGTTCTAGTGCCTATGTGCACACAGGTGTTTCTGGCACAGGGCCTGGGGTGCCTCCTGTAGGCCCAGGCAGTGGATGTCAGGGTGTGTTTATGGCTGAGAAGAGGGGGCAGGCATAGTAGGCCTCTGCTCTGAGAATAATTGCTGCAGCAGCCTCTCCTACTCACCAGACCACTGTGCCAGTCCCCTCTGCCGCACGCACAGCACGTAAGAAAATTCCTGGGCCATCTGGGAGCTCATACCTCCATTCCAGTCCCAAATAAAGCTCAAAGAATAGAGGGGTACTCTTGGACCCCAAACTCAGGACAATGCCTTGGGCATAGATGAGTTTCTGAAATGGTAAGTGAAGAGAAGTGAGGACAGAGAGCTAAAGGCCGGGGAATCAGAAGAGTGATGGGGTAAGGGCCAGGAAGGAGGAACTCCGTCTTCCATCCCCATCTCCCCGATGGTCGACTCCCAACTCCCCTGCTCTGGAGGCACGGGCCCCTCAGGAGGTGGGACTCCTAGAAGCCCTGCACCTGAACTGGGTGCTCAGTCTGTGTGTGGACTGGGTCAGAGGCGACGATGGGTCTGCGCAGCTCACTGGCTGCCTCTCTGGACAAGCTGTCTACGAAGAATGTAATTCATGGCGGTCGATGGGCTCTTTGATTAGTTCAATCGCCTGAATAATCGTTTAATCAATAAAGCATTTCATTCCTCTGCGCAGCCGGACTGGGTGGGGTTGGGGGGGTGCACTAGGCTGGCCAGAGCTTAAAATCTGGAGAGCCACGCCTCCTTCTCACCAGGGGTTGGGGCCAGGGCCGCCTGGCCTGAGAAAGGGCAGAAGCTCAGGTGACACTGCACTTCCACCTGTCTGCACAGGCCCCAACCCAGGCTGGGGAAGAGGAAAGGGTTAAAAAGGTGTCCAGGCTGGTGCTCAAAAGGGCTGCCGGGGCCAGTTCCTGGAAGGGCATCTCTTCCAACTTTTAGGCCTTTCTTGGGCCAATGGATCTCCCTTTCCTTCCTTCACAACTCCTTTCCACTCCTTCCCCTGACCTCAGTTTCCCTGACTCTGCAGTGGGGAGGGAATATGACCTCCAGGCAGTAAGCCTCAGACCAGAGCAGGTCAGCGCCCCCCACTCACACGAAGCCACTTAAGGACCTCCTCCTCATATTATGGGAAAGAGAAAGAAGTCTGGAGAGGGGCAGGGGCATCCTGGCAATCCTAAGGCAGGAGTTAGGACTTCTCTGCCCTTAGAGCTCTTATTTCTATTGGGACAGGAGCTGGATCACCCCCTGTAGACGTGTGTGTGTGTGTGTGTGTGTGTGTACCCTGTTGGACTACTATTGGGCAAGCTACCTGTGGTGGGTACCCCTGAAACCGTAGGCCAGGGAGACCTGGATGGGCTGGACACATTCCCACTGGGCGTGGGCATCGAGTCCCAGAGCTGTGGACTGAGCCGCAGATGGAGTGTTGGTAATACTCCCCTGTCCACAAACTTCATCTCACAGAGCTTTGGGAGGCCGTATCTCAGGGGCTGTCTCTGCATTAGATAATGGGAGGCAGAGGCTGGGAGAACGAAGGGGCTGCCCAGTCGTAAGTCTCTGGGAGAAGAGTTCTCTGCCTCTGGTCTGCAGAGCAGGCTGGCAATGATAAAGAACCTGGACCAAGGCAACGACTCCTGCAAACAGACCTGGGCCGGGCAGATCTTCAGATCCAGGCCCAGGAACCTGCTGGACCCCCATTTGCCATGTCACCTGGGGTCAGCTGCTTTGCCTCTTTGTTGCTTTTGAAGTTAAAGGGTTAGACAGAACCCACCTGGTTGGGATCTCCAAGGACTAGTGCAATCCCCATCCTTCCGGAACTGAGCCCTAGAGGCCTCCTTTTGAGGGCAGCAAGAGGAGGAAAATAGGCTGGCCCTGGGCTGCAGGAGTTGGTCTCAGTCTCCGGGCACCCAGAGGAGCCCGGGCCTCCTGGCTCAGCGGCAACGCAGTGCGATGGGGGGGGGGGGGGGGCAGGAGAGGAAGGGGAAGCCCGGCGGGGGCTGTGTGCTTGGGGTCCGAGACGGAGGTGGGCGCTGTCGGGAGGTGCTCTGGCATCGCAAACACTGTTCACCGCGGGCTTTCTTTCAATAGCAAAACTTTGAAAGGCAATTCGATTTGCATACGCTGGGTTTCTTCCGGGATAGTTTCCTTTCCCAGTCATCTGGCCTCAGCGCCCAGCACGGGGACAGGCCTAAGAAGCCACGCAACTGTTGCACACTGCGAGGCTGAACCGCACTCGGCGCGGCGGCGAGAGCGGCCGCCTGCTGATCGCCGTCTTCCGGGCTCGGGCTGCGGCTCGTGGGCGTACGGAGGCAGGACCGAGGCGCCGAAACTCGCCTCCGCCATGGAACCGCTGTGTAATCTTGGGCTAGTCTCCTAACCTCTCTGGGCCGCCATTTGGTGGCCTGTAAGGCTGGGCTTAGGTGGCCACGCTGTTGGGTCTGGTCGCGCCTTTGGAGGCTGGAAGTCCCGCGAGGCCAGTCCACTGGAGCGGCGTGGACAACTCCCACCCGGAGGGAAAGTCCCGGTTCCCTAAGCGGCGGGAGGTGCGGGAGGGAGGTCAGGTTGGCCCCGTGGGAGCCACGCAGCGGAACGCGGGACGCCGTCCGGGAGCCGAACACCTACTGTGTGAGATGGCGAGTCTGAGCCACGCCTGTTCTGGTAGTGCTGTGACATCCACTCTGGCGGTGCACGGCGGATTCTGTCCAAGCCGCGCTGGTGTGGGAAGGCAAGTCGGCTTGCGCAGACCTATTCCAGCCGGGTTCCTTGATTTCACAGCAACCCTCCTCCCCCACCTGTGGTCCCGAGAGTGCTCTGCAGTGGCGCTTCTGGAAGGGATGTGTCCAGCCCCTGGACTGGCTGTGTGTATGACCTTGGATAGGTCGGGGTATCCGGCTATGTATCTGTAGAATGGGGAAAGAATACAGTTTCAGGGCCCGGTTAGCGCTTTGGACCCCAGAATCTCAAGCCTGAGCTCAAGGAGAGAGCCTGGGCGGGGGTGTCACTAGCTTTGTCCCTCAGCGAGCCTCAGTCTCCAGCTCCGCACTCCCAGGGGAAATGCAGAGCCCCCACGTGGACTAGGACCTCAGTTTCGGAATTCTAGACATTTCTGATCCACTGGGGCCACCTGGTGAAGTGAACACAGGAACCCTAATCCAGCCTGGTTCCTGGTCCCTGGTGCAGGTGTGACCTTCCTGTTCCAAGGTGGGGGCAGAGGGTGAAGATCCAGGGTCCTGGACAAAGGAAAGATAACCACCCCTCCCCCGCCCTGCCCCGCCCACTGCAGCCTCCTGTGTCCCTAGAGGCCCGCCTGGGGCCGCTTTCTGCAGCTGTGCCCAAGCGGGGGTGGGGACGAGTGTCAGCTCCGGAAACTTGTCTACCGGTCAGGGGCAGCTGGGCCTGGGACAGTGACAGAAGGTGGGTCCGGGGTTAACCCAGGATAGAGGTGTGAGAAGTGGAGCAGTGTTAGGGAGAGGGAAACTGAGGACAGCGATGAAGCAATAGGGTGAGCTGGGCCCCTCCCAGAATTAGCGTGCGCTGCCTCCCTTAAAGCCTAAGCCTGGAGCAGGCATCTGAGAGCCCTTACTGTGGCGGGTTTATGCTTCATGCTGGAAGATCCTCACAAACAGAAATGGTGAGTCTCCAGACCACTCCTACAAGCTGCTGGGGCCCAGGAATCCTCCCCCGGGACGCAGAGGGCTCACGGAACTGTAGCCTCTGGGGTGAAGAATGGCTGTCACGTGTTTCCTTTTCAAGGTCTGGTTCCTTTGCTTGTGGTCCCAGAGCCTCTACCCCCTGAGAAATTGAGACTCGCTAGACCCCTTCTAGTTCGGGAAAGTTCTGCTAGAAACCATTCATTTTGTCGCAGAAGTGGCAGGAACTTCCCTGTGAGGGAGAAGGTTTCCCTGACAGCTGGAAGCTGCAGCATTGAAGCCTCCCCTCCCCGCCCCGGGCTGCTTGTGAGACCCTCATAGGTGGAATGCACCCACCCACTCAGGGGTTTCAGGGACTCTAGCACTGGACACGACTGGGCTCATTCGTTTTCCAAGAGAACTTGTGCAGGATGTGGAATTGTTTCTGCTGACAGAAGCCTTCAGATGTGTGCATCCCCAGCTCCCAAATCATGTGGCAGCTTAGGCAACCTGATTCAAAGCCTCAGCTCCTTCCCCCTCCCCCCCAGCACCAGTTTTTAAGGAGTCTCCCCTGAGTGCATGCAGCACTGGGGACCTTGCTGTAGAGGGAGGGAGGGGAGGATGGGGAGGCCCCGGCGCTCTTTAGTGAGTTCTTGGTAAAATCCAGACGTACTTCTGCTGGAAGGGGCCTTCATCAAAGCCGAGTTGACCCAACTCTGCCCATTTTACAGATGAGGAAAGTGGGAGGTCAGAAAGGGCAGGGATTGCCCATACCTAGTTGAAGGCCTGATCTCTATTGCGTTGCTGAGCTCTCCCTAACATGAGTTTTTCTGTGTTTTTTTTTTCCGTCTGGAGACCATTCTCCCACCCTCACCCCCACCTTGGCTGCCCCCAGTCCCTCAGGGCGTCCCAGCACCTCAGCGCCACGGCCAGGTGGTCGTGCCCCTGCAGGGCCGGCGGCTAGACTTTGCGGGCACTGCGAGGTCCCATCCCCCTCCCCCATCCGCGATCCACGACTAGGCCTTCGCTCCGCGCGCGTTTGTCAATGAACGTGGCGCCGCCACTGGGGCTCCGCCCCCTATTCTCTCCCATTGCTCAGGTATCGGCTAATCAGGCGGAGCCCATGGGTTGCTTAGCCAATGGAACGCTGTCTCGGGCCAGGCCGGGCTTCCGCCGTTCTGATTGGCTTGGGGGAGCGTGATTGGCAGGTAAGCCCCCGCCCCGCCCCCGCCCGGAGGGAGGCTGAGCCCCGGGCGGCGCTGTCCACACGCAGCGGGTCCTGAAAGCGGCTCCGGGGCGGCGCGGTGGCGCACTGTGCGCGCCGAGCAGGCGGAGGGCTAGCGCCGGCGGCGGCGGCGGCAGCGAGGCCAGTGCAAGCAAGCAGCGGCTCGATCTCAGCCCTATAGTCCTGGCGGCCTTGGTGGCGGGGACCCTCCGCTCTCCTCTCGGTCCCTCGCTTCCCGCCTGGGGAAGGCGCGGCGGCCGTCCCGGAAGAGGCAGCTCAAAGACGGTCTAGCCGGACCCCTGAGACAGGGTAGCGTGTCTCGTGGAGTTGGTGGGCGCGAGGCAGATCCCCAGGCGCGCAGGAGCCCGCCACTGTCGCGCCCGTTCCTAGCCTCAGCGATGAGGGAGCTGCAGGGGCTGCGCGAACTTTGAAGGCAGCGAGTCCCAGGGTTTGAGGGCACCCAGCTTCCGGGGACCCCGGCGTCCCGGCCCGGACGCCAGCAGCGGAAGCGTCCTCAAACCCGCCGGGCACGACGAGGCCGAGAGGAAGTTCTTCGCAACTTCGCCCGAGACATCGGAGAGCCTGCCGCGGAGGGCGAGGGGCCAGTCCGAGCCCAGAGACTCAGAAAGCGGAGAGAGGACCGATCTGGCGAAGACCGAGGGGTCGAAGAGGAACCCTCGAGGCAGCGAGGCCGCGGGACCAGCCTGGCAGCGCGTCGGCCTCGCTGCCACCCAGGAACGGCCGAGGCCCGTGCGTTCCTGCGGCCTCCCCCGAGCCGCGGCGATCCGGGCCGGGGGCTCCTAGCCCTCCCGGAGGTGGGCCCCTACGCTATGCCCCCGAAGCCGCGCGCGCCTGGGCCGCAGCCACCCCGGGCCGGGCCGGGCCCCGCCGTCTGAGAGCCAGCCGGGGAGGGAGGCGAGGCAGAGTTGGGCGCCAGCTCCCAGGCGGACTGCGCTAGCGCGGGTTCCCGCCTGGGCGCGCAGCTCTCGGCGACCTCCGGCAGTGTTTTCGGAGTCCAGCTCGCACAGTGCCCGGCCTGGTGGTGCGGCTCCTTCGCCGCCCTGGGCAGCCCCTTGGCGCCGGGAGGCGGCGGCGTGGGCCGGCCTACAGTCTGGAGCGCCCCGATGGAAATACACTGTAAGCACGACCCGTTTGCATCCATGCATAGTAAGTAGGCGGCGAGCTCGCTTCTCTCACTCTCCGGCCGGGACCGGGTTGGGGGTGCAGGACCGCGGGGCAGGTGCTAAGGCCGGGCGGACCCCGGACCTCTGTCGCCGCGCAGCCAACTTTGCCAAGTGCAGGGTTCCCGGGCAGGGGACGTGGAACAACGCGCTTGGCCGCCGGGGCCTGAGCATTGGTCCAGGAATCCCGCCTCCGGCAACGCGTAGCAGTAGTCACTAGCCGCAGCCTTTCCGGGGACTTGGGGCGCGAAATCTCAGCGCGTCCGGAGAATCCCAGCTCGGACTCGCAAAGGGCTCCCGGCAAGGCCAGTTGGAGGGCGCGAAGTTGTAGGGAGAGGTCAGCCTGAGTCTCAGACAGCGTCCCACATCCCAACCCTGATGGCGCCTTTTCCAGCCACCGGGTTGATCGAGACTGGCGCTTGGAGGGAAAGTGGTGTTCTAACCAGTGCCTCTGTGTGTGGAGGAAGAGGCCGAGAGGCCCAGGGCTGCGAAGGTGCCCTGGGTGTTGAGGAGGGGAATTTGAAAAATCAACGAAGGAACAGTCCCTGAGCTAAGCCAGTTCACACAGAGACCCTGAAAGACCCCGTTGGGTCCTTCTCCGCAGGACGTCTGCCTCAGGCCGGCTTATCCCTTAAAAAAAAAAAAAGAAAGAAAGAAAGAAAGAAAAGAGAAAGAAGCAGTCAATTAGTCACCATACCGGCGCCCCCTCCTCCTTCTGAGACTGCCTGTGTAGGAGACGGGAAGGGTCATTTCCGTGCCGGGCAAGGCCGGCCTGGCTGCCTGACTCGGGGGATCTTGCCAGTTCACTGTAGCACAGCCTCGCGTGAGATGAGCGCTCCTCTCACGGTGAGTTAACGCCGGATTAGACTCGGAGATTCTAAGGAAATTCCAAGTGGAACGAATCGAGTTTCCCTTCGGCTCGCTGCTGAGCAGGCAGAGGAAGGCGCGGGGCTTTGGCAGCCTCTAGTCCACTGCCCGGCGACGGTCTCTGCTCGCTGCGGGGCAGGGAGTTGCTACGGGACTGGGAGCCCTCTCCAAGCCCCGTTCCCCTCAGACAGCTGGGGATCCAGCTTCTCCATACGGAGGTCCCCTGTTTAACAAAGGCAGCCGAGACCCGGCTGGAGAGAAGGCGAGCTTTCAGGGCGAGTGTGTCAGTGTCTGCCACGGAGGGGAGGGCTGAGTGGCTGGCAGACAGGGGAAGGCTGGGTTGGGTGGCTGGGGCAGGCTGCAGGCAGGTCAGTTTCTCTTTGTGTCAATTTCCTGAGTCGCTGTTCATTCCCCAAACCAGTGGGGACATTTGCACAGAGAAGCGCTTGCTCTGGTCTCAGCCCAAACGATTACTTGATTACTCCTGGTTTGGGGCCTGTGCCCAAAGATTTCCAGTCTGTGGTGACCCCAGCGCGGTCCGCAGTCTTTTCCTGCTTGGGCTCTGGGAGGCTTTGATAACAGAGTGAGCTCGACAACCAGCGGGTTGGGGGCAGTACTCCGAGAGGTGGTCAAGCCCGTGGCTCAGCCAAGGACACACTGGGGGACAAGCTGGGGAGGGACAGCCCCTGAGCTTCTCTCCTTGCTGGTGGGGACCCGCAGACCCCCGCTGCTTCCTTCTGCCTAGAGCCCGGTGGCCCAGAGGTCGTGCCCCCTTCCCTGGGGAGATGGCATGAGCCCCTGTGGTCTGCCGGCTGTGTGTCAGCACAGAGAAGGCAGCTCCTAGCAGGTGTAGGTTAGCCAACTGCTAATGTCTGTGCCTCCTTGTCCTAGCTTTCAATCTGCCCCCTCCTTGGGAAGTGCTCACTCCTCCCATTTCCAATCTCTCGGCAGTGCAGTGGGGGCTGGGCCCCAGCCCGCCAACCTTCCAGACTTTGGCTTCTCTGGAATTATCCATGGTTCTAATGCCCAAAGCTGTTTGCTTGCACAATGTGGGCCAGCTTTGAGAAGCCAACTTGGTGCCGAGGAAGATGGGAGGGGCATGTTGGACTCTGGAGGTTGTTGGGGTACTAGGGGCTCAGTCCAAGTCCCACCTATTCACCTTCCTTCCTGGATCTGGTCAATTTCTTCCTGTCCTCTTTGCGGGTCCCTCCTCCCACCCCCTGCCAGTTTAGTGCAGGATAAGGTCAGTAGGGAGGGGCAAACACTGTCAGGAAATGGGCTCCGGAGATCGAGATTGGAGGTGTCCCCACTCCATAATTTTAGATACATTATTCAATACAATTTCCTTCCTTCATCCCCACTTGTGTTTCCCTTCCCCTAGTTATTTTCATCAGCTTTAAAGTACTTTTGTAGCCAATGTGTCCTATCTGACACTGGCTACAAAACACTGGACCTTAAACCTTCAGTTATACCCATTTTACAGAATATGCTGCTGAGGTCAGAGAAACAAAAGATCGAATAGGAAGTTCACGTGGGGAAAGGTGGAGCTAGTTTTTGGTTCTCCCTGACAGAGGCATAAACATGAGACTTCAGAAGCTTCAAGGAATGGAAGCAGGAGGGTCACCCATCCCAGAAAGGACCTGGGTGGTGGGTGAATGCACACACATTCAAGTCCTCTCTCTCTCTGGTCCAACCCCATCTATGCCCCTGGGCTGACTCTCCGTGTGTGTCAGCACCTGCCTATTGGGCGGGGAGTACCCATTAGGGAGAATTCACCCCTGCCCTTTGCCTGTTCTGCTGTTTGCATGCCTGTGTGCCCTTCATTTTTTCTCTCTGGTGCCAGTAAGTAGGAGGAATTTCAATGCCCTGCAGGTTCTGGAGCGGTCTGCGTCCGCTGTACCCGCAGACTCTTTCTCCCCAGGACTTCGTGCCCAGCCGTGGCCTTTGGGGTGTGGGAGGGCTACTGACAGGCAGCCTGAGGGGCATTGTGGGCCCCGCCCCTTCCAGACCAGAGCCAGAGGTCCCAGGGGCATCTGGGATCCAACCTTTCTTCCCATCCCCCTTCAAACCCCACCCAGTCTGCCCTGTGGGGACTGGTCTGTGTTTCCTGTGTCTGTTTCATGGTCTGTATCTGTCTCTGCATCAGACTCTAAATTCTACTTCCCCAGAAAAGTATAGCTGAGCCCAGGGCTTTCCCTAGAGTAGGTGGGAGAGGCAGGGACTTGGGTTCTCCAAGGAGATACAGAGCTGAAGTGGGGGCCCCACAAAACAGGGCTCTTCTGTGCTCCAGATGCCCCCTGCCTGGGCCTCCTGTTTTCTCTCCTCCCTGCCTGCAGCTGTGGGCCGCACTCACCTGTCTTTTCGTGGTCAATTCTGGCTTCTCCATTCCTTCTGCTTCCCCCTGCCCGCTTACCCTGCTGCTCCCCTCCCAGGCTTTCTCCCTTCCATCTCATTGAGTTCCCAGACTGTGCACCTTTCCCCACACACCTCTCTTATCTTCTTTTCTTTCCCTGTCTTGCCTCCCCTCTCTCTGACTTCAGGCTTCTGTCTCTCTCTCTCTTTCTCTTTTTTCCCTAATCCCAGGCTGAGTAGCCTTCCTCAGACCACAGCCATAAACCTTCCACCCATCGCCTTTGAAGATCTCTTTTGGGTAGGACTGTGATGAGGCAGACAGGGCCAAGAGGGTTTGGGGGTCTTTCTAGGAAGTTGAAGGAGATAAGAGCCTCCCGAGTCATCCTGGGATGTGGCTAACTGTGGAGGAGCTGCGGGAACTCAGCCTTTGTGGTCCCGGGTAGAGGGTCTGGGAACCTGCTATCGTCTGTAGACCTACCAGGCTCTAGGAGACTCCTGGGAATTTTTTTCCCCCTCGAGATACAAAACAGCCCGCAAAGCTCACACATGTCCTGCACGAGTGCTCTTGGAATTTAGATCCTCTGAAGGTTGCTGCTGTGTTTTGGGCTGAAAGTCTGAATTGCTGGTGCTGTAGGGAACAGGCTACTGCAGATGGGCCTCTGTGCCTGCACTCCCAGGTCGTATCACAAGTGTGCTCTGTGTTTTAGCATCCTTGTCCTGCTCTCTGTCCTCCAAGGGGAGCTCACGTCGATTTTGAATTCACTTTGTTTTACTTAAATCCCCACTGCATTGGAAAGATTGTACAGCTCCTTTTCACCGGCTGCTTCCAGCCCCAGACAAAGCCATCCTAAGGTTCTTGACCAGGGAGGCTGCCGTCTTTCTGTTGTAGGTAAACTGTGCAATTGTGTTCCTTTCTGCACATCCTGTCCAGGGTGGTTTTCCTTTTTTCTTATGGCTGGGGTGTTGTATAACAATTAAAGCTCATTTTGGAAATCACAGCGAAATTTGGCTTAGAACTGGAAATGAGGATGCAGGGTTCTACACGATTGTGTTTTTTCCTTGAAATAAGCCTGAGCCTGGACAGCTTGGGCAATATCCAAGGGAAACTTCAGTGGGTTGCTTGGCCGGTTTTTAGGCCACCGGGTGGCCTAAAATTTCAGTCGTTCACGAAACTGAGTCCTGGAGAGGAGGAAATGGTTGAGAGGAGGTGGCTAATTTATGTTTTAGACTTGGAGTATGGACATGTGTGTGACCTCTGGCGTGCCTGTGCTCCCCTGTCCAGCCTAGTGCCAGTCCAGGCCCAGCTTGGGGAGGAGGTTTGCCCCTCCTTGGCCTCTGAGCTGCCAGCAGCATCAGTAAATGCTTGGACTTGGCTTTTGGCTCCAATCCTCAGCGACATCAGTTAGTGGCTGATTAACAGCTACAAGGTCAATGATGTTGCTACATTGGATCGCTCTGTGTTTGCTGGTTTGGCTCTTCAATTGACTTGAGTCCCTGTTTCCCTCCAGATGGACTGTGATGTAAGACAAGGGAGCGAGTGGGTGGAGGGGGCACGTTCCCAGTCCCCTTTACTTACGATCCATCGCAGAGCCCTTGTAAAACCTGGGACTCAGAAGCTTTCACTGGCTTCTTTATTTCTCCCAGAACCAACTTAAAGCTGCTTGCTGATGCACAATGCTACAAAAATTCCAGGGGAACTCCTTTATAGCAAATTCGGAGTCTGCGGAGCAGAATGTGCTGTGTAGAAGATGCCACGACCCCATTTCTTTTGTGTGCTCTGGGAGGGTGCATGGTCAAGTCTATACGTCAGCCTCACCTTCCTAGGAAAGGTTCTTCTTCTTCTTCTTCTTTTTTTTTTTTTTAAATCAAGGCAGTGGTTGAGTTTCGTCTCAGTGCTCTGCAGGCACTGTTAAAAGATTGTTTTTAAAGTCTTGAACTTAGACTGCTGATTAAAATTTTTCCCCCTGATATATAGGTTTAGTGGATTAGTTCTTTACACTTTTAAAGACATTTGTTAAAAGGAAAAGAGTTTCATTTTTTTTCCTTTAAATTTAATGCATTTTAAAACATAAGTTCTCCCGAAGATCTCCCTTCAACCTCAGCGCCATGTAGTAAGTTGTGCCCTTTTAGTACAGATTGGGGTTTTCACACACTGCATTATGAAAAAATAATTACAAGGAAAATGCTGGGAATGAAAGGAAACGTAGCACGAGGATGCTTGCTATCAATAGCTCAACTGACTGGCTGCAGATGGCCAGGGCTGAGATTTATTTAGCAAAGCAATCTGGGGTCCTGGTGTGGTCTGCACGGACTGTAGGCCAGACCCCCAGCCTGCCGGGCTCTGGGTGCTCACGCGGCGCTTTCATGGTGCGACTGGTTCTAACCACCCTTCCCCTGTCTTTTGTTTCTGATCTGTTTCAGGACATGGAGGAGTGAATCAGCTTGGGGGGGTTTTTGTGAATGGACGGCCACTCCCGGATGTAGTCCGCCAAAGGATAGTGGAACTTGCTCATCAAGGTGTCAGGCCCTGCGACATCTCCAGGCAGCTTCGGGTCAGCCATGGTTGTGTCAGCAAGATTCTTGGCAGGTAAAGACAGGAGCTCCAGGCTTCCCTTCATCTTTCAAATAAAGACCTGAAACGTGACCCAGCGGCTGCCCAGTGTGCCGGTGTCACAGTGAGAGTTGTGGCCGCCTTCTGCTCTGTGGATGCGCACAGCAGTCCCACAGGCCCTCTGAGGCCATCCGATTCAGAGGAGCCCGGGAAAGCCCTGTCTGATGCGCAAGTGAGACAGGGCGAGTGAGCCGGGGAGGACGACGTCGTGTTTCCTGAATTATTCTAAAGAACCCAAGAGTAAAGAAGCTCTTGGGACTTTTCCCCCATACATCTTAGGACCCTGGGTAGGGCTGGGTGGGAGATCTATTGGTTGTAAGAGTTTGGTGCTTGCACGTTTGACTTTTCAAACTCCGCTGTCACTTCCAGCCTTGGGGCGTTGTCCACCTTGCGTTGGGTGACAGTGTTTTCCCTTTTCCGTGCTTTGTTGTGTTCATGGGGATGAGCGTCCTAAGGATGCATTCAGTTAGAGAGGAGAAAAACCATACCCCAACTCATTGAAAGCTGCCACCTGACCCTGTGAGTGGCTGCAGGCTGTGTGGCCCGAGATCGCCCCTGTGTGTCTTCTCGGTGGCCTCCCTGTGGTCCGGGGAAGCTCCTTGTAAGAAGAGAAGTAAACCTAGGAGGGCAAAGCCACCACCCAGGTTCCTGCAGCCACTCACTGCGCAGGCTGCGATGGATCTTAAAAGGCTCTGTCTCTCTGCACCCTGGAAATGAGGCCGCAGGTTTGTCGTTAGAGGCTCTGTGTTGGCGGACGGGAACATCCCGGGGCTTGGCTCTTTGGCACTCCCTGCTATGTCGTTCCCTGGGTCAGAAAAGAACCCTTGTCCAGGAGCTTGCATTGTGGCTTGAGAACAGACGCCTGAATAGAAAATAAACATCTCGAAGTGTGTCAGTGACATCGCGACTTTCTGCTTGCAGTTTTCCTTCGGTTCTCTCCGAGGAAGGGAGCAACAGTTTCTGACAGCCTTGGGGAACCTTGCCTGAGGCCAGCAGAAGAAGTGGCAGGGCCAGGGGACAGGCCAGCTCCTCGGGGACCTGGAGCTCTGTGTTTACTCCTCGCCGTCTTGCCCGGCGCAGGTCGCTCCGGTCACAGAGGCCCCACTCCTGTGTAGCGCTCAGCGAGGACCCAGGGGTTCAGTGTGGGGGCTCTTGTTAGGGGGTGGCTTTTGGCTGGTGGGGGGCGGTGAGAGTGAGAATAGAGGAAAGGTTGAAGACAGAGAGTAAGAAACTAATGAGAACAGAGACTGATTTTTAAAAGGCAAGAGAAATGGAAATTGAAAGAGAAACGCAGACAAGAGAGGAGAGATAGAGAGAGAGAGAGAGAGAGGAAGAAACAGTTTGGCCTGTTTCAGGATTGGACTCCAGAGCCGCATGCATCCCAGACAGCTCTGCGCGCAGCCTCTTCATTGTACCGAGGGAGAGGGAAGGAGGAAGAAGGCCCTCCCTTTGTTTTTAAGGAGCCGACATTTTGCTTGCTATTTGAAACCTTCTCAGGGCAGGGTCCTGAGCCTGTCTCAGAGGGGATGTCCATGTGCTGGGTCCCGGTGTCACGGGGCCCTGGAGCCCGCCATATCTCCCTCGGAGACTCAGGGGGCCAAGGATCCTCCCCAGCCCAGCCGGCAGCCTCGCGCGGCCCAGAATAGATTTGTCACTAGGTAGAGTGGCACGCGGAAGTTACGCGCCGCTCCGGTGCCTGGCCGTTTAAGTTGTCAACAATAAATTGGAATTTCATAGCTCATTATTTTCATAACTAAGAACCACAGTGGACAAAATGTCACTCTAATTAGAACTGCCTTTTAAGAAACAAGTTCAGCCCTAAAACAGTGCGGCCGGGAATTTCTGAACTGGAGGACTGTTTATCCGCAGAAATTTTTTTTTTTTTTTGGTTACACGGGGATTCGGCAGTGGGCACATGCGAGGTGACAGATTGTGAGTGCATGTGGTATGTGGTGGCCTTGGTTTTCAGAGGCTGTATGGCCAGGCATGCAAAGTCCCTGGGTGGCCAGAGCCCCCATCACCGACTCCAGAAGACGGGCAGTCAGGCTGCAGAGCTCCTGGCCCCAAGAGGCTCAGGCGGCACAGCCCGGTGGTGTGGGAGGCAGAGGGACGTGCACCCAGGGCCTGGCTGTCGTCTCTGTTCACAGGAACCTCTTGGGAGGATTTGGTCCTTTGCAACTGGGTGCTGGGTCACACAGTATTAATCAGCATTCAGGCTGTTCACCCTCGAGGCCTGCTCTTTGATGTGTGTTTTGCAAAGCTCTGTCCGAACCAGTCTGTGTTTCTGTCCCCACGCTGGCCCTGCAAGGCGAGCAGGACAGACGTCCTTGCTGCAGTCTGCAAACGGGATGACCCAGGCCTGGAGAGGCCGAGGGAGTTGAGCAGGGCCCCGTGGAGGGTCAGTGTCCCAGCCACTGCCTCGCACCTGCTCCTCTTCACTCCCAAACCCACGCTGTCTGCACTGGAGGACGCCGTGTGGTGGCGGCTGCCGGGCGTCTTTTGTCTGTAAGCCAAAGCACCGCTCGGCTGTTTCGCCAGCGTGAAAGGATGGCTGTTAAGTCTGAACCCTCGCTGACACACATGCAAGTTAGGGGTTTGGGAAGGTCAAGGTTGCCTTCTAAGTGCCAGGTCCACGTGTCAGTCAAAAGGAAGACAGAGATCTCTCGCGTCCAGACCACAGCCTGCCACGGTTGGCACTGTTCAGGTGGGATGGGCCCTGGGCCCTGAGCCCTGAGCGGCGCCACCCATTGCCATGGACGAGCCTGGCCTTTATCCTCTGCCTTCTGGGAGTTGCCGACGGGTGTGTTCTGAGTGTCCAGCCCAGGGTTGTCTGTGTGTCTGTGAGCACCTCCCCGGGACCACAGCCGCCGCACCAGGCGCTCAGTGACTATGGAGCAAGTGAGAGAATGCATGGCAGAAGCCTGAGAAAATGGGGAAGAGGAAACCTCTCTAGAGTGGCAAAGGCTCATCATCATTCTTTCTGTTTTTAAAAGCAAAACGACAGTTTGCTTTGGTGAGAAGCGCGCCGGGTCGGGTCAGGATTCAAAGTCGGGGCTGGCTCTGCCTTCCAGCGGGAAGGTGGCCGAGTTGCTCAGCCTTCCGATCATCTGTTTTCCCTTCTAGAAGCAAAGCCCTGGCTTCCTCACAGGATTGGTGTGAGGGCCGAGCGCACCTGAGGCAGCGCTGTGCCAGAGTGACGAGCTGTGTTCTCATAAAACTCGTCTTTCAGTGGGGAGGTGGGCAGGACGATGCAGGGCCGCACAGGCTGCTGGCTGCCCTCATTCTGGCACTTTTCTCGAGCTGTGGCAAAGAAAGTATTTTCTTGGCTATGTTGGGAAACTTGTTCGTAAGAGGTCATTTATCAGCAATTACAGAAAAATTGATGAAAGCAACCTTCCTCCCCGCAGAGAGAGAGAGCAGAGAGGTTGAAGTTTGCCTTGGAGTCAACATTTGCGAATGATTCCTCCTTCTCGATGAAAAATAGAATTTTCACTTCCACATCACTGCTCCCAAATTATTCCATCTCTTCTCGAACATTCGCTAACTGGGCCCTAGGCAGACCTACCCAGGCAACTCTATAAACGTGCCCAGTCATTGTTCCTGGGTGACATTGCCCTCCCGTTCCAAGAGCACCTCCTTCCCTCACTTATTATAAACTCTCGTCGGGGCTGAAAATTACTAGTCATTTCTGAGATGTCTTATTGGTGACAAAAACATCCAACTGCGAGATAATCTCCTTTGGAAGAGAAAGGCAAGAATTCCTGTGTACATATTGAGAGAGACATCGAGTGACGGCTCAGATTCAGAAAGGAATCAAGTCATTTTTTCCCCCTGAAAAGATCTTTCATGGCACACTCTCCCTGGTCTCGGTTTCACTGTAAAACCCTGACATCCTATTTGCGTTAACGAGGAAAAGCTGATAGCATGGAAATGTCCTTAGAAACAGCCATTTACCTCCAGGGAGGTCTCTGGAGGAGCTGCCGCGACTTGTGGTTGGTTTTGCTGATTGCTTGGGTTTTGACGTACAACACACATTTCCAGTTAATTCCGGAATCCAGCACTCTTTTTAATTCCACACCAGGGTTATTGTTTTTTTCTACAGAAAAAAAACAAAAAACAAAAAACAAAAACCAGGTTGTGTTTTTGGGGGATAGTTTCACAGGATGCTGGCGATTCTGCCAGGGAATGGAAAGCCTGGTGAGTCCCCAGGCAGGGCCGCCTTTCGGAGGAAATGTTAGTTCAGAGGGCTGGGCGACAGTCCTGGCTTGGTCGCTTGGTCCTGTGTGCCCCCGGGGGAAGCCAGTTCATCCCCGAGAATCCCTGTTTTATGCTTGTAGATGGGTATCGATTCACTTATTTGTTCATTCACTCAACGCACTTTCCAAGGGCACTTCAAAAAGTCCATGGAAAAATGGAAGTGGAAAGAGAAATGTATTTCGGAGCAAGGAAATTTTGAAACCCATGCATCGTTTTTTCATAGCGTGTATTTTCCCCGGGAGCTTTGGCAAGACCCGGGGAATGTGCTCCGGAACTCTCGAGGATCGAATGAGAGAACTGACTTGAGAGCTTTCTAGAATGGCTTACGGATGGGAGAGAATTCTGTGAGTGTGTCGTGTCCTGCTAACGCTGTCCAGAGGAAGTCTAATGTGTGAGCTTTGTTTGCAGTTGACAATCTCTGAAAATGATCGTGTCCACATATATAATTATTAATGAGGTGTTTTACATTTTTTTGTCCTGAACCTTTACAGTCTGGTGTGTATTTTGTATTCACAGTGCCAGCCGCATCTCAAATGTTTGTGCATTTCGCTGGCTCCTCGTGGCTAAGTCTCTTTGTCCTTGGGTCCTAGGTATTACGAGACAGGAAGCATTAAGCCTGGGGTAATCGGAGGATCCAAACCAAAGGTTGCCACGCCCAAAGTGGTGGAGAAGATCGCTGAGTATAAACGCCAAAACCCCACCATGTTCGCCTGGGAGATCAGGGACCGGCTGCTGGCGGAGCGAGTGTGTGACAATGACACCGTGCCCAGCGTCAGTTCCATCAACAGGTGAGGGTGGGTGGCTGGGGACTGGGTGGAGCGTGGGCCCAGAAGCTGTGTGTGTGCCTTCCCTAAAGGCTTGGTATCTCCTTGCAACTGGGCTGCTCTGGGGTGACCAGACAGGAGGGAGACTAACGGGGCTGCTGGGGCTCTGCTGCCTTTCTCTTCCCTCTGCAACGTGGGCCCTGGGCCGGGGCGGGAGATGGTGTGCCGACGCCCTGGCTGCTTGAGATTTCTCCCATCCCTCCCGTCTCCACCTGCCCCTGTATGTGGAGCACCGTGCAGTGAACTGTCCTGCCGGAGTCATGACAAAAGTCACTGTGCCTGGGCTCCGGGTATTCACCCAGGGCCGCCCCGAGGCTCCCAGGAGGGATATTCCACCTGCACTTTGCCCAGAGGCTGAGCCAGGGAGAGTGCAGAGCAGAGCCCTGACGCGGGGCTGGAATGCTGGGCTCCTTATTCCTGCTCAGCCTCAGCCCCCGTGAGCTCTGTCCCCCTCTCTCCGAGTGCCCAGGGCCCTGGCGGCTCTCCTGTGGCTCTCCCAGCTCCCAGGGGCCCGTACAGGAGGCTGAGCTGCTCTGCAGTGAGGGGACTGCCCTCTCCCCTGGAGAGAAAGAGCCAGAGGAACCCCGGGGGCGGGCAGAGGGGGCAGGCATGGACCTGCCTGGGCGCCACCACGGCTCCAGTCTGATCGAATGACACGCTCAGAGCTTGAAAAATACATTTCCAGAAGAAAGTTTTCTATTATAATCTGCACTCCACTTAAAGCCAGAGTTAGAGATGAGGCTGTGAGAGGAACAGCCATGAGTGTTCGCTAAACTCCAATAAATAAATAAATAAATAAGCCAACAGACTGAAAACTTGGACAGTTCCCCTCTCTCCAAGGTCAACGCAGAGTCTGCCTGGGCACAGGGGACCCCTCACTTGTGCAGAAAGAGGTGGTCACACTGGCACGCCTCCGAGGTCCCGTCGGTACGGACACTTGGGACACTTGTTCCTTCGGCAGTGATCAGATGCACGGTCGCTGTGTGAGGGTGTGGGTGTGGGTGTGCTGATGCGCTGAGCCCGCTGCTTCCTGAGCTGCTCGCCTGGCTTTGGTTCCTCTCTCTCTCTCTCTCTCTTTTAATATTTATTTATTTTATTTGAAAGTCACATTTACGCAGAGAGAGAAGGAGAGGCAGAGAGAGAGAGGGAGAGGTCTTCCATCCGCTGGTTCACTTCCCAATTGGCCGAATAGCCGGAGCTGTGCTGATCTGAAGCCAGGAGCTGGGAACTTCTTCCGGGTCTCCCATGTGGGTACAGGGGTCAAAGGATTTGGGCCATCTTCTACTGCTTTTCCCAGGCCACAGCAGAGAGCTGGATTGGGAGTGGAGCAGCCAGGACTGGAACCGGCACCCATATAGGATGCCGGCACTGTAGGCTTTACCCGCTAGGCCACGCCCTTGGCTTTGGTTCTATCAGCAAACCTTTACTGAGGCCCAGAGGTGGGAACCAGGCTCAGTCTGTGCTCCACAGGGGATTCTCATGCGCCCTTTCAGCCTGCACCCAGCTGTGGGGGAGGCGGTGGCGGTTCTGGGCTGGGGGCAGTGGTAACTCTCATTCTTCTTCTGGGCTATGAAGGATGCTCCAGGGTGCTTTGTGAGTCCCCTGCTTCTGACTCACCGCAGGATTTGCATGGCACGAAGCATTGCAACTTTTCTCTGGGCCTCCAATAGGGTGGGTGAGGAGCAGGGCGCACGGCTTCACCTCTTCTGCAGGGGAACCTCGGCCAAGTCAGGCTTCGGAGGCCTGGAAGGTTCCCACCGTATGGTCTACATATAGTCAGTGGTTCCCAAGATAACTTCAGGTGGTCCGTGGGTCATAAGCTCTAATGCCTTCCATGGGACCAGGCGGGTAATGGACTGAGGGATGCAGGCCAGGTATGAGACAATAGGGAGAGAGAGGGTCTGTGAGAGACTAGACAGTGCGGGCCAGGGGCAGTCGTTTCTCAGCTCCCAGGATGTGGGGGTGGTGTTCACCAGGTTTTTTCCATTCATTAAGAGAAGCCAGAAGCTAGGACTTGTGCATATGTGTGTTTGTGAAATCTTTACATCTTTGAATGGTGGCAACTAATCTCAAGTGGAAAAAGGACCTGGTGCAGGACAGCGTAACCACTTCCGGGGCTCCTGGCTCTGGTTACAGCCTCTGTAATACGAGGATGGCAAGTATTTGGTTTTAAAGGGTAGGTTTGACACTTTTCCCCCTTTTGTAAAAACAAACAAACAAGCAAACAAACTCTTTTCATTTTACTTGAAACGCAGAGAAACAGAGCCAGAGCCAGACAGGCAGAGCAAGAGACAGACAGACAGAGAGAGAGCAAGAAAGAGAGAGGGCAAGAGAGAGAGATCCAGCTTCCTCCTTTGGTTCACTCTCCAAATGCCTGCAATACTCAGGGCTGGGCCAAGCCTAAGCCAGGAGCCTAGGACTCCATCTGGGCCTCCCGGGTGAGTGGCACAGGCCCAGTGTTTGAGCTATTCTGTACTGTCTCCCAAGGTGCACCCCTGCAGGAAGCTGGAGTTGGGAGTGGAGCCAGGACTGGAACCCAGACACTCCAGTGTGGAATGCAGGTGTGCCAAGTAGCATAATTTTTGTTTTTTAAGATTTTTTTTTGTTTATTTACTTGAAAGTCAGAGTTACAGAGAGGCAGTGGCAGAGAGAGAGAAAGAGAGAGAGAGAGGCTTCCATCTGATGGTTCACTCCCCAGATGGCCGCAACGGCCAGAGCTGCGCTGATCTGAAGCCAGGAGCCAGGAGCTTCTTCTGGGTCTCCCATGGGGGTGCAGGAGCTGAAGGACTTGATCCATCTTCTACTACTCTCCCAGGCCATAGGCAGAGAGCTGGATTGGAAGTGGAGCAGCCGGGACTCGAACTGGCACCCATATGGGATGTGGGCACTGTGGATGGCGGCTTTCCCTGCTGTGCCACAGCACTGGCCCCCACAAACAGCATCTTAACCATTACCCCAAATACCTGCCTTGAACATTGTTCTGTGATGAATTTATTTGGATGTGTTCTTGACAGATGCCTCGCAGACCAAACCAATGAGGCTGTTGGCTTTAGGGCCGCCCCCCCACCCCCACCCCCCCTTGTGGGAAACTACAATTGGCTCAGGAAATGAAGTGGCTTCAGCAGGTTATCAGAAGTGAACATGAGAAGCAAACCGAGCTGTGGTCACAGATGTGGCCAAAGCTACGGAGGGGGTCTTATGGGGCAGCAGGCGCTCTGTCCCAGAGCTGCAGGCAGGGCCCGCGCCGGCTTCTCAGGGCCCTCCGCGTGTCCCGGGCCTCTGAGGGGCTTTGACTTCTGTAGCCCTCAAGGCCTGACTGTCTCCTGAGGCCCAGGGACTTTGAGACGGAGAGAGGAGGGGAGGCCGTGTCCTCCCACCGCTGCTGTGTAGCATCTGCAGGGGAGACCTGAGGAGCTGAGAGGGGCGGGCGGGGTGGGGCCAGATGTCTTCCCTGCTCCACCCCAGGGTCTCGCAGCTGCGCACTTTGCTGACTGTCTGCTGTCTTTAGGCACGCCCTGTGGCTCCTCACTGCACTCCTTTCTTTAATTAAAAATATTTTCTAAAAATGTATCTGAAAGTCAGAGTTATAGAAAGAGAGAGAAAGAGGGAGAAAGAGAGAGAGAGAGAGAGAGATCTCCCATCTACTGGTTCACTCCCCAAATGGCCCCAATGGCTGGGGCTGGTCTGAGCAGAAGCCAGGAGCCATGAACTCCATCCGGGTCTCCTATGTGGGTGGCAGGGGTCCAAGGACTTGGGCCATCTTCTGCTGCTTTCCCAGGCCATAGCAGAGAGCTGGATTGGAAATGGAGCAGCTGGGACTGGAACCAGCGCGCATGTGGGATGCTGGCATCGCTCGCCCGCCCGCTGCGCCCCGTGGAGGCCCCTCACTGCTGCCCTCTTCAATGAGTGCTCACTAAGCGCGGGCATTCTGATGCCAAGGCATTCCACTCGCCCCTGTTGTGTTTTGCAAAGGCAAGGTAGCGCTCTCCTTGCCTTCAAAGGGACGCAGCTTCTAAACCCCTGCTTGGCCGACGTCACCGCCCCTGAGTAAGGGGCGGCATCCGCCCATTCTCCTGCCTCCAACAGCTAGCGAGGCCTCCGCGGCTGAACTCGGAGCTGTTTGGGTGGCCGTGGAGTTCTCCCCACTGTCTACCCCCAGAAATGCGCGCCTTCCTGCTGTTTGCAGGGGCATCGGCCTGAGAAACCATGACCCGGCATGGGGTCCTCAAGTAGCGTTGGGCCAGCTCTGCCAGGCTCGTGGGAGACATGCTGGGACCGCACCAGCTCGCTCCTGGGGCTTCTTAAGGACAAACAGGTGTGGGGCCGCTGCACTGCCTCCAAAAGGGGCTCTGGGAATCCCACTTTCCAGTCTGATGGAAGTGGTTGTCCCAGAGCTGGCTCCGACGGTGGGCGGAATGAGGTCTTCCTCTTGTGTGCCAGTGCCAGGGCTCTCAATCGGGGGCTCAGAGGTCCTAGTCATATGCACTCTCTCCAGGACGGGGGAGGCAGCTCACTTTAGCACTGACGGTGGCTGACATGCGAGAATGCCAAGCTAGCGTCGCTGGGTGTTCTGAGCTCTCAAGACAAACTAGAAGTCAGGCATTTATTAGCAACTAATTCAAACACAAAGAACCGTCCCACGCAGTGTTCTGTGCCGGAGAGGGTCTGTGGAAGACAGGCTGGGAATTCTGCTCTTCATGCTGATGTTGGCCTCAAGCTCCTGAGACTGCTGACCCAGCCGCTCTTTCTTCCCTGTATCAGTCTCAGGCCTGCTGCTGCCTGGGCCCCACCCCCCGGCTGCACCCCAGAGGACCGCAAGTTTTTGGGTTTGAGGCCAGCTGATGGCCCAAGCTTCATGCTGTGCCCACGGCAGCCTAGCCTTCAAAGGAGAGGGAGAGCTGTGGAGGCGGGCCCCTCAGATGCCTGCAGGACCGGAAGGCCCTTGGAGTTTTCATGCTCAGGTTCTAGGTGGAACTCATACTCATCTAGGAAGCATTTAGCCCAGGGATGACTTCCTTTGCACAGTGCTCAGTCTTTGCTGATTTGCTGTGTGACCCTGGGAAGGTCACTTGAGCACTCTGTGCTTTCGTCTCCCCGTCTGTGGGAATAGGTGACCTGCTGAGCGGCCTTCCCTGGTGGATCATTCATGATGTTCCAGTGGGATCCAGGCTCAGGAGCGTGCCTTTTAGTGGTGACTACCACTCAGCCTGCGCCGTCTCCAGCTCTGACAGGGTCCTGAGTGCATTCTTGTTGTGCTTGTCACTTTTTAACTTAAATGCCTTTCTTTTTTTTAAAGACTGATTTTATTTTTATTTATTTGAAAGGCAGAGTTGCAGAGAGAGAGGGAAAGACAGAGTTGCAGAGAGAGAGGGAAAGACAGAGAGGGAGAGGTTTCCGTCTGCTAGTTTGATCCCCAAATGACCCCAATGGCTGGGGCTGGGCCAGGCCGAAGCCTGGAGCCTAGAACTCCATCCAGGTCTCCCACATGGGTGCAGGGGTCCAAGCACTTTGCTGCTCTCCAAGGCCATTAGCAGGGAGCTGGATCGGAAGTGGAGCAGCCGGGACTTGAACCGGCATTTGTCTGAGATGCCCCACTTAAATTCTCCGTAGAGCCGCTGTGATTCAGTTATAGCCTCTCTCCCCACCGCTGTTTCCTCCCAGAGGAAGGTGCTGCTTCTCACTTTTACTTGGTGTCTGCAAGCAGTTGGGTAAAATCCCTCACCCCTGGGGATGGCTGTGGGGGATTCCTTACTATGCTGGGATTCCCCCATAGAGGACAGTCCCTTTGCAACCCAACCCTGAAACAGAGAGGGGCAGCCCTCTGGGGAGTGAACCAGCGGATGGAAGATCTCTCTCTCTCTGGTACACCCTCTCTCTCTCTCTCTGTAACTCTTTCTTTCTTTTTATCTTTATTTTTTCTTACCGGGCCGAATGGAGTGGGACAGTGAGAGAGAGAGGACAGAGAGAAAGGTCTTCCTTTGCCGTTGGTTCACCCTCCAATGGCCGCCGCGGCCCGCGCGCTGCGGCCGGCGCACCGCGCTGATCCGATGGCAGGAGCCAGGAGCCAGGTGCTTTTCCTGGTCTCCCATGGGGTGCAGGGCCCAAGCACCTGGGCCATCCTCCACTGCACTCCCTGGCCACAGCAGAGGGCTGGCCTGGAAGAGGGGCAACCGGGACAGAATCCGGCACCCCGACTGGGACTAGAACCTGGTGTGCCGGCGCCGCTAGGCGGAGGATTAGCCTAGTGAGCAGCGGCGCCGGCCATGTAACTCTGACTTTCAAATAAACATAAAAAAAAAAAAATGGGGCCAGCATTGTGATGTAATGGGTTAAGCTGCTGCCTGCGATGCCACCATCTAATGTGAGTGCTGGTTCGAGTCCCAGCTACTCCACTTCACATCCAGCTCCCTGCTAATGCACCTGAGAAAACAGCCAAAGATGGCCCAAGTGCTTGGGCCCCTGAGCCCATGTTGAGAGACTCAGGAGAAGCTCCTGGCTCCTCACTTTGGTCTGGCCCAGCCCCAGCTGTTGGAGCCATTTGGGGAGTGAAGCAGTGAATGGAAGATATCTCTCTCTCTCTCAATCTCTTCCTTTGTCTCTCTGTAACTCTGCCTTTCAAATAGAAAAAAAAAATCTTTTTTTTTTTTTTAATAAGTAGAGAGATGGCTACCTCCCCATCCGCACAGTTTCCCAAGGGGCTGTGTGCTTTTCACAGCATAGGTAAAACTATACGAATATTCTATGAGCACTCACTCACTATCTAGCAATGGCTCTTCTAAGTAGCTTGTTATTTTAATTCTAAGAATCACCCTCTGAGGTGGCAAGAGTCTCAGTCCCACTTTAGAGATAAGGCAACTGAAGCCAGGGGGTTTTACCCAAGGCCATGGAGCCGGCTAATTGCAGGGCTGAGTTCCAAACCCCAGCAGTCTGGTTGCAGAGCCTGCACTCCTAATCGCTGTGCCGGAGCTGCCTCTCCATGATTTGAAGGGCTTGAGGATAGTTTCCCTGTGATTTATGAATACTTCATTTATTTGTCTTCTGGCGAATGTGAGCACCGATGATTTACAAATATTTTAAAAGAAAAGGGAGGAAAGCGTAATTTTCTTTGTTTGGCTTATGTACAAATTTAATAACCAGATGAGACTTTGAAAACAGCACGGTAAACAAGACTGCAGTGGGAAATAGTTAGGAAATGTTTTACGATAAGTTTAAACCGTGTCGATGTTTGTTGTAGCCGTGTCTTCCTGTATGTCTCTATGGACATGCACACACAGGACGTGTGTGACATACATGATACACAGATGAGATCAGACACCCCCTCGATTCCAGCTGGGAGGAAGACCAGGTCTTTGTCCAATATGCTCTGTTTTCATTAGTTAGGATAAGTGTTTGAATATTGGAGAAAGCAGATAAACACTTAGGCCAACAAAAGGGCAAAAGGCCTGGGGCCAGACTGTGGGGCCAACAGGTGCTTCCAGGGCACCCAGACCAGCCGTCAAGTCGGGGAGGGCAGAGGCTTTGCCCAGCGAGTTTATGGGGAGGCAACTGCTACTCCTGTTCAGAGCCCTGGTGTGGCCTTGGAATGAACTTCAGGTGTGATGGTCCAGAATGTGAAAAAGCTCCTCATGGAATATTATGGGAAAAGAGCAAGATACCAGACTGCACACATGGTATAATACTGACATTGTTGAAAGTGCATATTTTTTTTTTGTTGTTCAAAGATTTATTTATTTATTTATTTGAAAGTCAGAGTTACACAGAGAGAGGATAGGGCGAGAGAGAGAGAGAGAGAGAGAGAGAGAGTCTTCCATCCCGATGGATCCGATGGCTCACTTCCCAGATGGCTGCTATGGCCGGAGCTGCGCCGATCCAAAATCAGGAGCCAGGAGCCTCTTCCAGGTCTCCCACGCGGGTGCAGGGGCCCAAGGACTTGGGCCATCTTTCACTGCTTTCCCAGGCCAAAGCAGAGAGCCGGATCAGAAGAGGAACAGCCGGGACTAGACTGGCGCCCATATGGGATGCCAGCGCTTCAGGCCAGGGCATTAACCCGCTGAGCCACAGTGCTGGCCCCCTAAAGTGCCTATTTCTAAATATGCACAGCAGTGTTGGTATTTGGGACATTCCAAAATGTGATATCTGATGTCTTCTGTGTATTTTTCCATGATGTCCAAATAGATTCCAGTGAACCCATTATGTCTTTTTTATTTTTCAAAAAAGATTTATTTATTTATAAAGCAAAACAACAGAGAGAGGGAGGGAGGGGGAGAGAGAGAGAGGGAGAAAGAGAGAGAGAGAGAGAGAGAGAGAGAAAGTGATATCTTCTGTTTGCTGTTTTACTCCCCAAATACCGGCAGGGCTGGGCTAGGCCAAAGTCAGGAGCCAAGAGCTGCATCTGGGTCTCCCACAAGGATGGCCGTCTGCTGCCTTCCCAGGTGCATCAGCAGGGAGCTGGATGGGAGATGGGAGTCTGACCACCAAGGGCTACTTAACCCACTGTGCCACAACACCCACACCCACATTACTTTTATAATGAGAGAGCAAAGAAAAAAACTAGTAAATTACTTTTTTGAAAGGTAGCAGCTTGAGGTTGGGGTAGAACTTTCCGAAGACATGAGCATTTTATTACAACCCGCCCATCTCCCCAAATGCTTTTCACAAGATTTTCTTTTTTAAAAAGATTTATTTTGTTTTATTGAAAGTCAGAGTTGAGAGAGAAAGACAAATTTTCCATCTGCAGGATCACTTCCCAGATGGTCGCAACAGCCAGTGCTGGGCCAGGCCAAAGCCAGGAGCCTGGAGCTGCTTCTGGGTCTCCCACATGGGTGCAGTGTCCCAAGCACTTGGGCCATCTTCTACTGCTTTCCCAGGCCACAGCAGGGAGCTAGATCTGAAGTGGAGCAGCTGAGACTCGAACCAGCACCCATATGGGATGCTGGCGTTGCAAGTGGCAACTTTACCCACCATGCCACAACACTGGCCCCAAGATATTCATTTTTAAAGAAAGGATTTGGGAAGGTGGGTGTTGAGGAGCAGCTGGTATGCTGCCTCGTGGGACGCATGCATCCCATTTCAGCGCTGGTTTGAATTTCAGCTGCTCTTCTTCCCATCCATCTCCTTGCTAAAGTTCCTGGGAGTCATGGCTCAAGTACTTGAGTCCCTGCCACCCACATGGGAGACCCGGGTAGAGGTGCTGGCTCCTGGTTTCAGCCTGGCCCATGCAGGTGCAGGGGCCCAAGGACTTGGGCCATCTTCTACTGCCTTCCCAGGCCACAGTAGAGAGCTGGATCAGAAGTGGAGCAGTCAGAACTTGAACCGGTGCCCATATGGGATGCCGGCACTGCAGGCAGCAGCTTTACTGCTATGCCATAGCACCGGCCCCTAAATAAATACATCTTTAAAAAGGGTTGTGATGGCTTAAAATAGGCAAAGAGTGGTTGGTTTCAGCTCCTCTATTGTATTCAGGCCCACAGGAGAGGCTGAGCTCTAGGCAAAGGCAGGAACACCCAGAAGTCACTCAGTGAGCTGCTTATGGAGCTGGGACTGTAGCTGAGAAAGGATGCCTCCTCCTAATGTTAGCACATCATCCCCTTGCCCAGAAGGGGTGCTCAAGGCCCAGACAGGACATGCAAGTCACTGCAGAACACCCAGGCGACTGAGGAGGAGCTGCACTAGTCCGCCATTCTTCCCCTCTCCCAACTCCCAGACCAAGTTCAAGGGGCGCCACCCCGCCCCACCCCTGCCTTTCTTCCTGTCCCAGCTTGCTCTGCGGCTCAGCCTGGGTATGGAGTTTCCGGTTGTGCATTCGTTGCTCCTTGTGGTGTCTCCTCCTTCCTGGTGGTGGTAAGCAGCCTTTTTTTTTTTTTTCCCCCAATTGCTGCAGGATCATCCGGACAAAAGTACAGCAGCCACCCAATCAGCCGGTCCCAGCTTCCAGTCACAGCATAGGTAAGAAGAACTTTAAAAAAAAATTGAGAACTCTAATGGGCTCCAACTATTCTAAAGAACTTTTAATCATTCTTATGGACAGATAATTCTGCATAAAACACTTCGGCATGCGTACTAATGCGCCTTCTTTGTCATTCTCCAAGGGCTGAACCTGGTAAATGAATTTTATAAATACTGCTAAAAGGTTTTGAATTTTACTGATTATTATGATAAATAGCTTTCACCATGAGACAGAAAATTGAAATCTAAGCCAAAAAAAAAATCCACTAATGGGGGTCTATAGAATGTCAGATAATTAAAGTAATAAATCAAGAAAGGGATACTTATTCATAACATTTTCTGCATCATTAGTCAGTAAGTAGTTTTGAATGTGTTTTTTTCTCCTATCAACCAGCCCTTCTACAATTCTTTGTGCACTTGCAGTCTTGAGTGAAGATGTGGCAAAACTTCCCAAACTTTCTTTCTCTGGGTCTCTGTCGCTTCGATCTCCTGTGTTCCGTGAACTGTTGAGGGCTGCCGGTGGGGCTGCAGGTGCGCAGGAGTGAAGTGAGAGAGAGTACGGCTTGAAGGGGCGGGAGTTCAGACCTTGCCTTTGCCTCGCCTTCAATGACCGTTGCGTGCAAGCGATTCGTGTCTATTTCAGGCGTGCTGTTTCTCCAGGTGAGCTAAAGGAAACACCTGTGCTTACCTGGGAGGAAAGGTGTTCCACAGTGGTCAGGAAGCAGCCAGCCATTCAGCAGGCCTTGGTCAGTGCTGGTTTCCCCCGCCCCGATCAGGCTCCCGTAAGGATGCCGCAGACGGGGTAGCATTTCCATGCCTCAGCACGGCCGCGCCCTCTGTAACTTCAGCCATGATGTCCTCACCACCATGGCCTGGCAGTGAGTTCAGCTCTGTGGTGGACTCACAGTAAACCCAGAATGTCCCTTCGTCTCTCTGAGCCTGTTTCCTCTTTTGCGGATGGAGGGACACAAACCAGGTGCTCTGTGATCCTCCATGGTTGCCTCACTGGGTAAGAGACGGTAAAGGCTTCCCCCCTGCCATGAGAGGATTCCTCACATAGGGTGTGTTCAGAAAGTGTGTGCTAGGCCCTGCTGTGCTGGGCACCAGTGCCCCAAGGAAGCGGGACAAGATCCCTGTCCCCAAGGGCTCCTCCATCCAGTGGGGGAAATTGACACACAAATTGCAAGACTGAGATGAAGTTCAAGGAGCAGGTAGGGAACCACCGGCTCTGAGGGTTTCTTGGGAGAATGTCTCAGGGTGAAATTTCACCTGTGGCTTTAACCGTTTCGGATCACGGCGCAATGAGAATCAGGCTAGTAGAAACGGATGCCTTTTTTTCCATTGGTCGAGAGGAACAATTCTGTAGTCCAACGGAATGCCTTGCTTTGTCGCAGAAATGTCCATTAAAACAACAGCCCTCATGTATACAGCCCTTTCTAATTTACAGACCTAGTGAGAAGTGAGGACTCTGCAGCTTGGAGAGATTAAATAACAAGGCCAAGGTCAAGTTGGCAGTCCATGGTGGAGCCAGTACTGGACTCTGGGTCTTTGGACAAAAATCACAAAATACCAAAACCAATGCCACAGGTCCTGCCAGCAGCATGGTGCGCCTTGGTCACACACACGTGACTCTTGTTGTTGAAAGGACCAAGTGACCCTTCTTCCTCTGTGCTTTGCACCTTAAGGCAGAAAAGGTGGCGAGATTTGCATGAATCTATTTTGAGGAGCTGCTTCTGCAGAAGGAAAACAGAAGTTAACGATTTCTGCTTCTGTTCTCTTAAGGAAGATCTGAAAATCAAAGTCAAATGGGAGAAGAAGGGCCCGTGCCCTCTGGGTCTCTAAGAGCGAGGAACTGAATCTGCTCCAAGGAAAGCAACCAGCAGTCTCTCACCAGCCATGGCCACTTTGAGTCATTTCCTAGGCTTTGAGTCAAAGGCGGCTCCACCAGCCTGCGGCTGGTCACAGCCCAAGGAAATGATCTGAGATTGGTCTGTAGGTCTGAACCAAGACAGGTTTCCCACAGCTCAGCACTGGAGACCCAGCTGGACAGCTGCAGAAGACCTTGACCATGGACTTGTCTCTCCCTGGGACTCCGGGGCTGTAACATGAAACTTGCCCCAAAGTCCCCTCCTCCATTCTTATCCTGGGGGCGGGAAGTTAGAGACCCAGCCTCAGAGCAACCTGCAGAGCCTCAGTTGCCTCATTTGATAAATGGGGACAAAGGATAGCACCTGGGGTGCTGCACGCGCCAAGTGAGAAACCCTGCGCTCCGCTCCGTGCAGCCCGTGAGTCCGCCTCATTAGTAATCAGTGAGGAGCGGCTTGGCTGCAGGGTGACATCCTCAGTCTCTGGGTTCCCAGCACCAGTGATCGCGGGGAGCCCTGGCTCCCTTCCCTGATCTAGATTCTAAGCCTGTTTTCAGAGTTAGAGGAGGGCGTGTTCACTATGAACAATGAACATAAAAAATAAAACCCAGATCCAAGTGGGAGAGAAACGCTAGCAAGGGACTATTCAAAGTTTGTTTCGTGGCTGTGTGTGCATGGGTGAACTTGTGAACAGGGAGTGAACTTGACCAGAGGGTCCTCCTAGGTCTTTTTTTTTTTTAGCATTGGCTGACGCAGGGCCTCAGATCCCCTCTTTCTCTTCTCCATCCCTCTGCTTTCTGCAGTGCTAGGGCAGGCGGGCTCTGAGCCCATGCACTTCCCACTCTGTCCGGGATTCCTCCTCCCCCAGCAGCATGGAGCCTGGGCACACAGCCGCCCTGCCGGCTGCCCGCTGCTCCCTCCGCAGTCACACCCCGCCCAGGGAACGGTGAGTGCCCGGAGCGTCCAGCCCCGCCCCAGCCTCCTGCCTGCCCTGACCGCCCCTCTCCCTCTGTGCAGTGTCCACAGGCTCCGTGACGCAGGTGTCGACGGTGAGCACGGACGCGGCTGGCTCGTCCTACTCCATCAGCGGCATCCTGGGTATCACGTCGCCCAGCGCCGACACCAACAAGCGCAAGAGAGACGAAGGTAGGAGACACCCTGCAGCTCTGTCGTGGGGAGACCGATGGCGTCTGGCTAGGGCTCTCAGGGGTGGAAGCGGAGGTGCCCGCCTGGAGCGCTCCTTCCCGGCCCAGGGCCGGAGTCCCGCTCCTTGTCCCTTCCGTGGACACGGGCAAGGGCCAAGCCCTTTGGGAGGGCAGACAGGCAACTGCCCGAGACTGCGGCTTCTTTGATGGCTTCCCTTGGCACCCTCCCCCTCCTTCTCTGGGGTGGAGAATGCGGCCTGCCCTAGCCTTTGTGCTCTCTGGATGCAGACACAGGAGGACAGGCCGTGGAGGGGTCTACGCCAGTGTCCCCTTGTTGGGGGGAGGAGCGGAAAACTTGGAGGAGAGCGAGCAGCCATCTCCCTGACCTGCCGCTCGAGGGGCACCCGGGGGTTAAGGCCGTGGGGGCGCTCTCCGGGGGGAGGGGGGCTGGACGTCCTTGCCCTTGGGTTGGGAGGAGGAATGACGCTGACGGTGTGTGCGCCGGTGCGTGCGCCGGTGCCGTCCCTGGCCACGGCCCCACCGCCGCTGCTCCTTTGCTTTATTCATGGATTTGAGAGGAGAAATGACGCCCTTAGTCAGGAAACAGGAGGGAAAAAAACCACAAAAGGACGAAAACGAGGCCGTGGTGGAGGGCCCGAGGGCAGTGTGGCCGAGATCTTGACTCAGTCGCTCCTCACCTCGGCGGCTTGCCCGCCCCAGCTCTGCGGAAGGAGGTGTGCCCTGGCGAGCACACCCTAAGAGCGCTTCCCGGCTGTAGCTGGAAAGTCGAGCCTGGAGGGCTGGGCTGGACTGGGCTGGGCGCACCGGGCCCTAGCCTCTGTTTGGAGTTGGGGGCGGGGTGTGAGGCTGATTCCCGGCCGGCCGGAGGGTGGGGGCCCCTGCCTCACCTCCCTCCCAGCTACTGGCGCTCAGGAGCAGATGTCGGAAGTCTTTAACGCGGTGGGTTGCTGGCCGCGGTGCTGCAGGAGGCAGTGGGCGTCCACCTCTGTTGGTTTATGGGGTTGATGCTATCATCTTTTCTCCCACTGACACCTGGGCTTGCAGCAGATGGGCCTCAGCTGGGGCCGGCTGTGTTTGCTCAGGGTGGAGAGAGAGGGCTTGGAAGAGGCTCCCTCAGAGCTCGGGTGGGGGAACCGGGCAGAGGTTTAGGGAGAAAGAAGAAAAAATGTAGTTTGATGTTTGCCGTGCACAGACAGGATTGCTTTGCTGTGTGGCATGCTGTGCCGGCTGGTGCAGAGTGGTCAGTACGTGGGTGGCATTGGTCTTGACTGGCAGCCTGTTATCCACAGGTCAGATCTCTGCTGGGCCATTGGGGCTACTGAATTTTTTTTAAAAAGATTTATTTATTTTTATTTGAAAGAGCTAAGAGAGGGATAAATCTTCCATCTGCTAGTTCGCTCCCTAAATGGCCATAATAGTCAGGGCTGAGCCTGGAACTCCATCCAAGTCTCCTGTGTAGGTGCAGGGGCCCACGTATGTGGACTGTCTTCTGCTGCTTTCCCAGGCACATTAGCCAGGAGCTGGATTGGACGTGGAGCAGCTGGGACTCAAACCCGTGCCCATATGGGATGGTGGCACTGCAGGCGGCGGCTTTACCTGCTACACTTCAGTTCAACACTGGTTGACTTCTAAGGAGGACAGTGACATATGTCCAGAGGAACATAACCCAGTCAGGGAGGGGTCTAGAAACAGGACATGGGGAGCAGCTCCAGCTCCAGGGCTGTTTGGTATGAAGAAGAGCAGGGTAGGCAGGGCTGGGTTGAAGCCTTTGGACGGTGGGAGGGGAGGGGACAGAGACTTGTGTGGCAGCTGCAGGGGCAATTTCAGCTCAGTGTGAGAAAGAACTTCGCACGTATGCAGGTGGTCTAGGGGTGAAAAGATGCTCTGGTAGTGAGTACCCCATCTCTAGGGGGATGCAAGTAGAGACTAAGTGGCCATTTGCTGGGCTGCCGTATGAGAGTGTCGAGTCAGATGTGGCACTGATGGTCTTTACAGTTGTGGTAGGGTCCTAGGAAGATTTGGGAGGGGTTCCAGTTCGGGGAGGGGTAGTCTGAAGGCTAAGGGAGAACGCTGTGATGGTCCTGAGGCCGACAGGATGAAGAAGGGGGGGACCCCAGCGGCAGCCAGACCACCCCCAGCCATGCCCGGCCTCCCTGACGGTGTGCACAGTGGGGCAGAGGGGTGGACAGCAGTGCCCTTGCCCATATCAGCCAGCGTCTGGGTGCTCTGTGCGGCGTCTCCTCCTGCCCTTCCCTACCCGCCCTCTGAACCCCCCCTGCATGGACTCCAGGGGGTGGTGAAGGAGCAGAGATCACCACCCTTGTTTCATGGAGGGAGGTAGCCAGGGAGTGCAGTGAAGGGAGCACAGTGACATTGTCAAGGCCACACAATTGGTGTGGACTGGGGGCCCAGAGGAGCAGTAGGGCCCGGGGACCTCCAACCCTGGAAGTGAAGCAGCTGGGGCTGGGCGGAGCATGGGATGGGGTGGGGAGGAGCCAGCGGAAGGGGCGTTAGCAGGTGGGGTGCTGCTGGGAGCGTCTTGAGGGGAGACCTGGAGAAGAGCAGGGGAAGTAAGAGCCGGCCGGGGAGAAAGCGCAGGGAAGCTGCCAGGGCTGGCGTGGTGGCCGCAGGCGGTGGATCCGGGGCCTCCAGGGTGGCACTGGTGTTCTCAGGAGCCCTCAGAAGCCTGAGGAAGAATCCTGGAGCAGGAGGGGTCTGAGAGGGCCAAGAGGAAGGGTGCAGGGTCCTCGCCCCCATTTTCAGACCAGACGACTGAGGCTTTACCAATGGAATCACTTGCTCATCTTGGCTTGCGCTTACATATTGGGGCCGGGGTGGGTGGTGGCGGAGGCCGCCCGTCAAGGAGGGCTGCAGGCCCAAAGTCCCTTGGATGCCACTGGAGGCGGAGCGTCAGGCCGCTCTGGGAAGGCTCTAGCAAGGCTCCTTAGGGACAGATCCTTCGGCAGCTGAGTGCCCAAGAAGGTCCCTGGAGCCAAGCAGGCGGAGCTGGGCAGGGGAGAGGAGGGACAAGGGGCCGATTCCAAACAGCAGTCCGGCTGGGCCCGGGACCCAGGCGTTATCTTGGAAAGGTAGGGAGGACAGATAGGGAACTCCCTGTCGCCCAGTCAAGGAGGGCTTCCTGGTCACGACGCTGTGACTTTGGAGGCCTGTTGTGACCTGGGTGCCAGCCGCTTCTGTGGCCCCGTGTCTGCAAGTCGCGCTGCGTGCCCGGGACAGGGCAGGGGTGCCTCTCTGTCCTCAGCGCAGCCCCGTGGGCCAGGCCTGGTTCCAGGAGAGTCTTGTGGGCTGGCTCAGGCTCTGGCCGTTCTGAACAGAGGAAGCTGCGGCATGGGCTTCGGGAATGGGGAATGCCGCTAGGCCTGGGGGACAGGGCACCTCCCTCTCCCGGAAGAGCCGGTGCTGGGGCGAGACTTGGCAGAGCCGGCCCTTTGGTGGCAGCCCCAGGCCCTTTGATCTCCTGGAGGCATCTTTCTGCCATTCAGGTCCCCCTGCCTCCCCCTCCCACTTCCTCCAGAATCTGAAAGGCCCCCAGACACCGAGGTCAGTGGAGTGCGAATCCCTTTCACCGCCCTGAGAGCCGCCCAGTCTCGCCCAAGTGTGGCCCACGGGGGCCGACAGCTTCCCATCACAAGTGGAATTTCCGGCTGCCTGGGCCCCAGACTGCCGGGCCCTGGGAGGGCAGCCAGCACACGGAGGTGGCCCGTCCCTTTCAGAGGATGCCAAGGCCTGTGGCGGCCTCACGGGGAGGTGGGGGACTCCGGTACTGACTGCGCGTCCTGCTCCTGGGGGCGTCTGTCTCTTCTCTGTGGTGGTGTCTCTCCCCAGATCTTCTGTTTGGGGGTGCATCTCATTCTGCACTACCTGGTTTTGATGCTCAAACCCGCCTCGTGTCTGCTATGTCTCCTGGTCTGCTGTCCCTCCCTCCCTCCCTCCGTCAACTCCTCTCTGTCTTTCAGGCTGAGAGCCCCACTGAGTGCCACAGAGGAGCCCTCCGTGGGAGCCAGGCCGGGAGGGAAGGGGGCTCGGGTGCTCAGGGGCCCTGAGGTCCTCTGACCGCAGGCAGACCCTGGTCTCTCTCCCTGCCGGGACCCCTCTCTTCTCCTGGACGCTCAGACTCTGGGGCAGAGAGCGCCGGAGCAGGGACTCCCCTGTCAGACTCGGAGGAGAGCGGGTGTGGGGGTGCAGCCGAGATTCCTGTGTCAGAACCTGGAGACAGCGCGTGTGGCACCTGGAGTCCTTGCCTCTCTGCTCTCTGGGGAGCCCCAGAAGATCCTGGCGGCCAGGACCCAGGTCGGCAGGTCGGGGTGGAAATGGTCCTGAGGACTTGCGGGCAGGTTCCCCAGGCTCTGAACCTTCATTTTGTCGTCTGGAAGCAGAGGTGACACAAGCCTCGCGGGTGATCTTGAGGACAGGAGGAAGTGACTTCCCACAAAGGGGCCTGGTCACAGGAAGTGGCCTCCGTGGCCACTGGGGAAGTCTGGGGCTTGAGGCTGCACTGCCTCGGCTCCCCGCTGCCGACTTCCTGTTTGGAACTCGCTCCTGCCCGCGGGCAGCAAGACTGAACAACAGTGCCCCCAGGTGTCGGCTGCAAACTCAGGGCCCCTTGCTTGCCTTGCCCTGCCTTTGCTTTGCCATTCTCAGCCTCCCAGCCTCCTTGGTGGGAGAGTAAAAGCGCTGAGTCTCAGTTTTCCAGGAAAAGGGCCTGGGGTGCACGAGGCGGTGGCAGCCGGGGAGGCCGGGCGTTGGGTCGTCAGGGTCCCTGGCACGCACCTCTGGCAGTGTCTGGGACGTTCCCTCTGCAGTCATCATTCAGACGCAAAATCAGCCAAGGACAAGACAGGAGGCCCAGAGAACGTCTCCAGAAGCCCCTGTGCTGGGCCCGCCTCCTTTCCCTGCTCTCCCAGGCCCATCTGTCCCCCGCCCGGGGGGGGGGGGGGGCTGATCCCGCGAATCCCCCAG